TGTACCTGCATGCTGGCTGTTCTTGTTTGTCGTTTGTTGTTTGTTTGGTCCAGTGCTGTGTTCCTCCCCACCCTCTTCTCCCACACCTGTGAGCCATACGCATCCTGGACAAGTGGTCATCACCACTGAGTCGAAGGGATTTCTGATTAACTTTCATTCTAATATGGCTCCTTGAGCAAAAGGGTGTAGACTACTCGGTTTTTCTGTTGTGTTGTTTAAATAGCATGTGGTTCTGAATTTTTACAAGAATCCTCAGTTCTTGTTTCAGGAAGCTTCAGGTTGTTTCTAATAACAGTGCCGCTTTGCCCTCACGGGATGGATTGGACCAGAGCCAGGGGCTTGTGGAAGTCCTGGCAGGGCTTTCCTTCCATCACTGCCAGGGCATCTGCTGTGGGCTAAGGGATGAAGTAGCCACCCCATACCCCGACTGCACCACAGCTGGCCTCTCTGCTCCGCTGTGCTGTTGGGGGACCAAGCGTACGCAATGTTTTTCTCGCTTCAGATACGAGATTTTAAATCATCTCAACTGGATTTTTTCTTGTTATGCTTTGGAAGAGTTTCCATGTAATTCTGTTGGAAATCTATTTCATCAATGATGCTAGATACATGTGTGAAATAAGATGTTTGTGAAATATTTTAAGTAGGGATTCCTGTGTAATATTGTGGACACAGTAAGAGCTTGCCAAAGAAATAGTAACATATGTAGGAATAAATGCTGCTGGAATTGCTTCAAGTTCCGCTCTGAGATAAGAGATAACCATGCCGAGTTCAGTTTTGCCCTACTTTCTTTCAACAGTTAGCAGTATTTGCTGGCTTTTAACTTTCTCTATACCTACTCTGGCAGGCCCTAGAGAGAAGGCTGTGTATTTGGCAATCTTGCTCCTACCTAAATAAAGCATGCATTGCTGTGTGTGTGTTCCCGACATAGCATAGTGGGCATGTCTGCTGTATAGAAAGCCTCTGTTCACGTGGTCCCTGTACCCAGACCATTTCTTCTTTCTGTCCCCTCCCTTCTCCAAAAGAGTTGTGTCAGATCTCCAGTCATTTTCAAATACACTGAGAAAAAGTAGCTTTCATTTCCAAAACAGGGAAGCTTTGTATTTCTTAAAGCACCAAATTCTGTAGTTGACTTAAGCACCAGATACTGACAAATTGACTGTATTCCATGTTAACTGTTTTTAACCAAACTGTTCCTCTTCCTATCCTCAGCCTGAACAATTAGAAATGGTCACTTTAGAGTTGGCGTTTGCTTGCATTTTTTCCCAAGGCCGTGATGTTAGCTGGAAAATCTGTAAATATTTGTGGGATGTCTCAGCTGCTTTGGCCACGCTCCTGCCCCGCAGGCCACTGCTAGTAGCCTGGAGTTGCAAAGGACTGGTGCCCATGGACTTGGCATGGACACCTGTGAAGAATATGACCCAGCCCCACAGCCGAAGTTCTCACCAACACGGTGATTCTAGAAGTCACTCAGCACAGTGAGTGCTAGTAAAGACCAGGAAACATAACTAGAAACATTCCATTCTAGTTCGGAAGGAGATGGAGGTTTCTGGTCATTAAGTCCAATTTCATTGTCCCAAAGCCTCCGAAATCCTGGACACAGAGACATATTGCCACACACCTCCAGTTGTATCTAGATACTTTTTTTTTTAACCACACCACATCATCAGCTTAAAGCAGGGCCCATTAGTCAAGTTCCAGGAAGCAGTGACAGTTAACCTTGGAACTACTATGCTCCTCCCATAAATAAATGGCAGTTCATTGAGAATCTCCATCCCATTCATTCTTCAACGTCCAGTATCATCGCAGTGTTTTCTCCTAGTTTGGCCAAGTAAGACAAAAGAAAAAGCCAGAAGTATATGCTGGCAGGTAAGATAGACCACAAAAGGGGACCTCGGTGCTGGAGGTCAGTGTCTCGAAGCATTTAAGCACAACTGATTCTAAAGATGATAATAAAGCAGCTGGGTTCCACATCCTGCATTACTGGCTTCTGGTGTTGAGATGGCTTTTTATAACATACGGGTCGTGGAGAGTGTGGGAAAGGAGAAGTGAGTGTTGTGGCGTGTGGGAAAGGATCTCCGGCATTCTCCGCGCTCTCCTGTCAACTGCATCTTGTCCTACGTGGCGTGTCTTACACATACTAGTCTGACCCGCCACTTCGATCAAGCTCTTCTGCAGTCAGCTTGCTTACGTAACAAACTGTGCATCCACTGAAAAGCTAGAGGGCCTTGTGCTGTGGGACAGGCCTGCTCCGGTGGCATTGGTCATCTTTCTCAGTGCAGTCTGGTGGCTGCCAGCATAGCAGTAGCAGGTAATTAGTTTAAAGCATGTATCAGGAAGGTATGGTCTAATGGTAGAGCACCAGTCACGGGTGAGAGCTCGAACCCCAGAATCGGCACAACACAAAGAAGGTAAAACATGAATCAAGCTACAAATGCCCCCTCAAGGTGGACGTTTGTCTTAGGATCGCAGAATCAGCAGCCGTGAGGTGTGCACAGTGCCTAGGTATAGACCCACTGCCCCCGCTGCCATACCATACTCATCCAGCCAGGGGTCTGGCGGGATCATTTGCCTTTCCAAGTGCTTATCTTTTCATGGAGTTTGCATTGAAAATGCCCCTCTCAGGTTAAATTTTTGCCAGGTTTGTTTTGCTACTTATATTTCCTTTTGGGGGAAAAAAAAGTAATGTCTTCTTGGCCTTGCTCATTGCACGTGGAGTGCTGCCCAGGCTGCTGCATCCAGTGGTTCGTGGTCAGGGGTGCTTCCCAGGAAAAGGGCTGGCTCTTCTCTAGGAACCTGGCCCTTAGCTCAAGACCGTGGCACCAGGAACTGCCTACAGCCCATCCCAGTGAGAAGCTTGTACTGTGCATCACAGAAATCCCGTCACTAGCAAGACAATGGAAAGCCAGCCATCCTGCACCCCCTCCCCCAGCTTCTGCAGTGCATGGCAGGATGCTCACTCCTACCTGGTCAGCTCCCAGTGTGGTCCTGTCAGCGTTTCCAGACGTTTCCAGAGTGGTAGGGAGGACGATTCCAGCTTTGGCAGGGACGACCCTACCACACAGACAGGAGGCCACACACACCCTTGTTCCGCTTCCCTTTCACACCCCGGGATTCCTGTGACGCCCAAGGGCCACCCTTCTGAACAGAGGGGACGCAGGGAGCCGTTTCATCGCGTCCACTGTCACCCACTGCATCCCTGCCCTGATGCTCTAATCCGGAAGCCCGGTGGTCTTGAGAAAGCAGTTCTGATGTGTCTTTCTATAATTAAAGAGAAACAGAAAAGTATCATCCAGGCATCCTTTGATAGGCTGCTTCATGCCGTTTATTTTGACTCGTCTAGAAGGAGGAGTCGAGGTTGACTGCAACCGGAAGCAGTCTCTAACCTGGAAACAGTCTCCAGAAGTTAGGGGGCTAACTTCCCTAACTAGAATGGTTTCCAGAAGTTGGGGGGGGGCTCCTCAGTGCTTTTATCTGCTAAGAAGCAGATAACAGATAGCACTGCTCAGGAGGCAATGGTACAAATGGTAAATTCCTGAATGAATGCAAGCGCCTCAGAAGGTTTCTGTGCCAGCCACCCATGGCATGAGGATGAGACCAATGCTGTAGGGCTGCAGGTAGAGTTCAGGAGCAGTGTTTGGAGGCAGATCCGAAGCACAGGCCGATGTCCCTCCGTCTGCATGGCCTGCAGTGGGCATTGTGGTGTGACCGGCAGTCTACAGCTAGTCCCTGCAGAGCTGTGGTGGGCTGAGGTTCACTCAGAGGCCAGAGTGATAGGCTTCTGCCAGAGCCACACACGCACTGCCACCTCCCAGCCTTCTCAGAGTACGCCCCCTTTCCTCACACACTGGTCAGGACGTCACTGAGCAGTATGCGTAATATGTAGAAGAAAAAACACTTAAATGTTTGACCCTTTGATTTGCAAATAGTCAGCGTTTGCATTTTCTATAAGCCAGAAAATTCAAACTGGAAATAGATATATGGAAAGAACCATATTTTTTGAGTGATTTATATTGATCCTTGAAATTCTCATTAAACGTGGATAGTTTTCTTATTCTCTATGGAAGAAAGCTTTTTTTATGTTTTATAGTCATTTCTTGATGTACTGGAGTTTTTCCTGGGAGAAATGGACAGCTTTGCCAGTTCAGAACTCTCTCTCCCTACCTGGTAGCTAAGAGAAATGACCTTGGATGACAGGGGTCTTCTCCAGGTCAGAGAATACCCGAAATTATCGCTACCAGCAGGATAAAAGGAACCTGTCCCCAAGAAATGGTGGTGGTGGTCTGCAGGGGAACTGTGAATGAAAGGTGTCCAACGAGCTCTGGACTGGAGCTCTTCAGATCACCTGACCTTCAGCCGACGTTCGGAACAGAGCATGCTTCTATCACAGGGGAGGGGATGGGTGCTTGGACTCGAGTTCCACAAGTAGATGTCTGATGTCTGCTAGGTCATTTTGAAATATTGGGGAAGTGGTATGTTGTTCAATAGAAGCCAATTACAAGCGGTTTTCACAGAGTCGAGGAGCATTTTGCAATGCTTTGTACTCATTATGCCAGAAAATTTAGGGCAAAGAAATATTTTTAATAACATGCCCACACTTCCTATTTGTTTTTCATTGCTTCTGCTTTTGATGTGTGGATACTAAGCGGTGTTAATTGTCAGATCATGTTAAACAGGGGCATTAATTTTGCTTGCTTTTATAATTCCTGTTCTCGTGTCTAGTTTCTTCTTCCTTATATTCCTCTATGTGAAAATTAACTTGGAGCACTTGATATAATTATGAATGTCTAACTTATTCCTGTAACTTACAATACTGGGAATTTTTCAATGTGAGTTGATCAATTGCCTAGCAGTAGAGCTCATCCTTTCTAGGAAATCTATTTGTAACAGTTATGAAAAACAACACCCTTTCCAGAAGTTCGTTATTAAAGATGCCTGCCTGAGCCAAGTTCTGCTGATGTTCACGGTCAATATGTGTGTGCCTGTGCTCTCTCTTCCCATAGGCAAGGCAGTTTTCCTGGCATGAACCAGAGTGGACTTATGGCTTCCAGCTCTCCCTACAGCCAGTCTATGAACAACAGCTCCGGCTTGATGAACACACAGGCACCCCCCTATAGCATGGCACCCACCATGGTGAACAGCTCCACAGGTAACTGGTGGCTCTGCTCTGGAGCCCGTCCTTCCTTCTCCTCCTAGGCTTCTGCTTTGAACGCCTGGACGGCTGGAGAAGGTGGATCCCCCGGTGAAAACGGCATTACTAGTGCTTCCCCATTCTGGGAAACCGGCTCAATCTGTTTTGAGACTTGAGGATTGCATTGCGCGTCATGTGAATTATCCTAGATAGTCTGTGTTTTGTGATATGTGTGTGTACTTCCAGCCTCATTGAAGACTGTGTGAGATATCCACACTAAGGTCTCTCTAGCTTTGAGAATTGTTGGGACTGTCTGAAGAGCCCAAAACAAAAACTGCCCTTTGACTATAGTGGAGAGATTTAGATTTATTTAGAAGGCACATTTCAGAGGAAGCTTGAAGGGGGTGGGACAAGGGGTTTAAAGTAGCCTTTTCATTTGGGAGGCACCGCTGCATATGTGGAGAAGGAGCTAGTTCACAAGTACCGTGCAGGCTGTCTCCGCAGAGAACGTGCTACAGGTGCTTGTGATGGTCTCAGCAGTTCATTTTTACAAGGTCATCCTCAGAATCTTCTTCTGGTCTGTAGGAAGCAGAATGTGTCTGGTAGCAGCTGTTTCTGTTCTCAGCCTCTCAGAACCCAAACCCGCCTCCTCAAGCTCCCAAACTCCCCAGAGCAGTGAGTCCCTCTGGTAAAATGAGAAGCTTCTATATGTTTCCCCTGGGCAGTAGAGACCATCCTGGCAAGACTCAGACCTGCAGTTAGCACAGGGCCTGGCGTGGGGTCTGCGTCCTCTGGGGCTTTGTGACACGTCAGGAACACACTGTGCCGCTAGAGCCTGGCTCCCTCAACGCCCCTGTCCATGTTCACTGCCCTCGGCCACCTCTCTCTACCCAGGCAAGGCCTCTGCTCCGTCTGTCAGCTTCCGGAGAGGATGTCCCCTCCTGCATGTAGCTAGGCTCCCCGACTGCTCCTCTTCAATGGTTTGGGCAAGAGGAAGGCATAGAAGCTCTTATCCAAAATGACAGTTTTAAGTAACCAAAATAGCTTTTCTTCATGTTCAGCTGCTAGACTGTACTTCTAGAGAGATAAAGTATGTCACTCCAGGCTGGGATGTAGCCCAGTGGTAAAGCTCTTGCCTAGCAAGCATGAGGCCTTGGGTTCAATCTCTTGTACCAAAAAAGAAAAAGTCAAAAGTACATAGCTCCAGCAGGCTGTCGGCTAGAAGCCTCACACTAGCTGTCACTGTGTGTGTTTTGTCTGGCCTCCTGAAACGTAATTACTTCAGGGTATTGAGAGTATGGAATAAACTTCCACCTATTAGCAGAAATCCCTTTTTTTCCCTTCTCCTTTGGCCCCCAGAGCCACAAATAACCAACAACAAACAGATGGTACACTGCTCTGCCTAAGAAGACATGTATTTCTGAGCAATCTCCAGTTTTACAGGGACTCAGAGGATGTCTTTATTAGTATTATTATCATTATTATTATTACTCAGGTAACTCAGCTATTTGCTTTTCATACCAAGGAAGTCTGTTCAGTGAAAGGACATTTATTCACACTGTCTTTTGTATAAAATAGTAGTATATTTCTATTGCATACTGCATTTTGAAGTACTGAATTTTTAATAATTTAAATGTTTATCAAATGTTGCTGTATACACTTAGGTGATAGCTATTTCAGTTTTATTAAATTACCAGGTAGAAAGCATAATCACTGAGCACATGTGAGGAATATTGGGGATCTATTGACAGGTGCTTGTGGGTCTGCTTTAACTGTCCTGGGACGGGGCACTGGGGGTACAGGAATGGCGTAGGCCATCCCCACGCAGTTCCAGTGGCCTCCTTGAGGCTAAATGGTGCCCTAGCCTAGAGATAAAGTCAGGAATGGCCCATCGTCGCATTCACCTCCTTGTGGGCCCATGGAGATAAGTTTCCACAGTTAAGAGTTCAGCATTTCTCCACCAAAATGTACTTTCAGAGGAGGTGAAGGTAACACGTGATGCTGGCCAGAGCCAGTAGTGGGATTTTTCTGAGTCTCAGCAGCCAATACAACTGGCATTCCTACATCTCTGCTGAGCTCAAAGGATTATGTTGTAGATAGTGTACATAGCAAAAAAAAAAAAAAAAAAATCTCCTGTTTAGTGATGAATTGTTACAGGCATCAGCAAGCAAGTAATTATTTAATGGAGTCCATGAAAAGTATAAATGTGACCACAATTTCTTACAGAAAGTACCAGGGAAGTTAGATGGTAAGCAGTGGGGAGTTTTCCCTCTGAAAGAGACTATTGATTCTGTTTTAATTATTTGGATTAAAAGACTAGAATGTATAGATTGTGAGTGAAACACAAATTATACGTAAGCTTGTTAAATTCACCCTATTGCAGCACCTGTGTTGTTAATCGTATTTATGTTCTGTTCATAATATTCATTAGCCACATCAGCCTACATATAACCCATCATTTCCAAGAGAGCATCTGAATTCCAAAAAGACTTAAAGACTAAAGTTTGTCTCCCCAGAAGTCAGTCTACAAAACATAGGGCATTTCCACCACGCTGTCCAATAGATGACAGAGCCGTAGCCACGCCTTCCTCTTACCCAGAGCCCTGGCCAGACCCAGTGGCAAGTCTTTCTGCTGACTGTTGCTCAACCCTGAAGGCAGAGTGTCATACCTGCACTGGACATACCAGCTCCAACAGTGCTTTACAGACAAAACTCCTGGTCACACCTCTCCAATTTTCAGAGCCTCTGTTTCACCCTGACTCTGTAAAGCCAGGTCCCCAGGCCCTGTTGGGGTCTGCATTCCTCATGCCCTCAGGCCACCCTCACTGGCCACACCAACACCAGGGAGTCGGCCACATCACCTACTGCCAGCTTCGTGTGCCATGAGCTGCTGAGCAGGGAAAAAAAATACATTTACAAAAATGCCTAAAATGTGAAGCTAGCGCTGCATAGCTGTGGGCCTCCTGGGCTAAGGCTTTTTCATAGAAGAAGTTTGGGGTTCTAGCACCCCCTTGCTGGTAGTTGTCTAAGTAGTATTAGCCAGTGTTTGTTTACTAAGTTAATGATTTTCCTACCCACCCTAAGGAAAACTACAAAGGACTTGCAAATTGTGGCAACTAAGCCTCTTAAACTCTGGGACAAAGCCACCCGGATCCTACCTAAGTCATCAGTACCTGGCTGAGGGTGGCCATTCTGAGAGCCTTGGTGGTTCTGGAGGGCCACGCATGGCAGGGGGAGGCCTCTTCCCAGGACCCTCCCCAGCAAGTGCTCAAGTGGGAGTGTTTCAGGGCTTCCTCAAGGTCTCCCTATGCCCAAGCACATATCAGGTCTCTTGTGTGTGCTGTTTAACCATGTGCTTGCTACAGTTTGCCATGTAAAAATCACGAACCTCTATAGCTGTATACAGTACCTAGATAGTTCCTTTGTGCTTTCAAAAACAAGGTGTGTTTTGCAGAACAGGGCTTGTTACCCTGAAGACGAAAGGATTGTGTGTTTCTGATCCTATTTTGCCATCTTCAGATGCTGATTCTTCATCTATAGGTAGACAAAGTGGAGGGAGCTGCAGGAAAGGGAAATGTGAAGTTTGGTCTGCTTGGGTCATACGTTCCTTACGATCTTTGGGCACAGTAGTGCCTTGGGACCCTCTCCAATTTACTCCAGCTCTTAAATGTCAATAGTGGAGCCAGAGGCCAGTGCCTGAAATGTGTGTACAGCCCTCAGGACACCCTGCAGTCAGCAGCCCACTGCACAGTCTAGATTCCAGGCATCAGGACGAGAAAGAACAGCTTCTTTGTTCCATGCATCCTTAGATGCACTTAGTGGTGGTCTTCCTTTCTGAGAAAGGAGGAAAATCTAGTGCACTGCACTATGTTTGCCTTAGGGGAGGCATATAGCTCATTGTGGAAATTCATAGAATTCTGGCAAGAGGTCAGAAAACAGCGTTTCAGCATAAAGAATAGTAATAGCCACAGTAAGATAAGCCCTCTTTTTGGAGCCACTTAGCAAAGTAAAATTGTCAGGCAAAAGAACTTAGTGAAACTATTACTCTAAATTCTACCCTTATTTTCCTCTTAAAATAATAGAGCGATGCAATTTTTAAGTTTTTTCTATTTATATATTTCAGATGCCCAGTTTAAAATGCATAATAGAGAAGAAAATTGGGGAGTTTCAAACCAACATATATACTTGCTTTCATAAAAGTCTGGTGAAATCAGTGTAAATTATCATAATACATATTGGCCTAATTCTTGATGCTTAAAAATTACTTTTATGTACATTAACACATGTAGTGCATAAATATGATACTACAGTTCCTGTTCTCAAAATAATATTCAGACATGTAAGCACTGACAAGATCGTCAGCTACTGCCACTGGAGAAGCCATGTGCCCCAGCTTGCGGGCTTCTCTGAGCTGCCCGGGCTGCCATTGCACAGGGATGTGTGGCCATTCCTAGGCAAGCTTACAGAAAGGGTGATTCTAAGCATACAGGTTTACTAATTCCTATCTTGTTAGGCCCCAGAGAGAGAGCTGCACGAAGCAATCCACTGCTTTGCACAAGGCAGTCTTCTTGGTAAAATATCTCTCAGCTGCGTTTTTGAGGTTTCACACATTCACAAAAATAACAGCATTTTTAGCTGATCCCAATAGATTTTTCTCTGCAGCTGCATCACTTGAAAAAGCTTTTTGTTCCAGTTCTTAAAGTCTGAGTATTGAAAGTAATTTGGAAAAAAAAAAGAAAGAAAGAAAAAAAGAAAAACATCCCAATTATGATTTGTGTGTGTTGTGATGACTTTAAGGGCTGCCTGGCTGCAAATGGGCTCCACACACCCGGCCGGCACACGGTGGAAAACCTGGGATCTCAGCGCGCCTTAGCGAACGTGCTGCTGGAAGCTCGTGGCCACGTGGCAGGGTGGGCTTCTTTGGCAGGACCTGTGGACTCGACCTGCAGTGATGCTAACGACATGAGCAAATTAGCACCATGGAGCTTGCCAGCCAATTCACCAGAGCCTGCTCACTGCTCACTGCTGTAATTAAAACTAATTATTTTCTAAAACGTAGTAATACATGAATATGTGCAATAATCATTTTGTGGTGGGCAATCTGTGGAGCCTTTTTCGAAGCTGTTTTTCTTCCTCTCCCGCCCCCCACATTTTTGTTTTCTTTTTTTTCTCCCTGGCTCATTGAGCCCCGTGTGTCCCGCGGGCTGAGCCAGCGTTGGCCTTGGGACAGTGGGAAACCTCAGGCCCCTCTGCTCTCCACACGGCTGCTGTCTCCCTCGCGACACAGGGCTGTGCCGATGGTTTTTCTGGGGAAATGCAGCTGTTAACCCTTGGCCAGCCACATGCATCCCCTGCTGTAGCCGTCTTCCTCCATCACAAAGAAATTGAAACTCGGGTATCTGTTAGCCTCAGCGATCAATGTGTATAAACCATGTGACCCCTGGTGGGCTTGGGGCAGTGCGCGCCCAGGCGCCGGCCGCAGTTCTGAGCCAGAGGAAGGACGCTCCGGCCCTGGAGTGGCTGTGCTGTCTGAGCTGGCTTGGAGCCATTCAGCTTCCCCAGGCCTCAGACTCCCGTTCAGTGATGTGTGTGTGCGCGCGCACGCATGCATGCGTGTGTTTGCACATGCCTACACTATAGATTATGAGGAAATAAAGCACTAAACCCCTTAGGCCACAGACAAATCTCGCCTCTGATACTCGAGACTAGTTGAGGGACTTGTTCAGGTTCTACTGCTGCCAACATATGTGGATGTGGGACGGGCTTCCTCAGTGGTCCAGTTCTCAAGTGTACACAGTGACCGTGCTTTATCACCATTATTATTACTGTTACTGTTGTTATTAGCAAAAGAATGCCCAGAATGCCCTACTGCCGTTCAGATTTCATGCGTCGTTATTGTCCACGTCCCGTTCTCTCTTCCGCCTTCAGGGGACGCTCAGGCCCACGCCTCTCACGCTAGCGTGCGTGGCAGCAGTGCAGTCTGACAGATTGCATGTATAATCCTGACTCTTTCTCCTGTTTTCGATTAGCATCTATGGGTCTTGCAGATATGATGTCTCCCAGTGAATCCAAGCTGCCCATGACGCTCAAAGCGGACGGCAAAGACGAAGGCACTCCACAGCCCGAGAGCAAGTCGAAGGTACTTCTCCCCGCATGCGGTGGCGCTGCTGGCTGCGGCTGCCACGCCGCGGCCCTCCCCGGTGCTGGCTGCTGTGCTCCTGGGTTCTTTTCCTCTGCATGCCTCATTGTGTGCAACAGGAGTCTTCTTAGTCTTCTTTCTTTCCCCACCCCCTTCATGGTGTGGATCTGAAAGTTACTAGTTCTTAAGGCATTAACTCATGGCTGGGGGGAGGGGGAGGAGGGACGAGACCCACCAGAGAGAGATGCCACGGGGGTGGGGAGAAGTAAGGAACCCTGCCTGGTTTTGCCACTTGTAGCCATTTTTCTCTGCCTTCAGTTTATAGCTTCCTGTTTTGGCCGCCTCAGCAACAACATACTTAATATTTTGCTTTCCTGCCTTATTTGATAAATAAGGTGAACAGCTTGTTTTTTTTTTGTTTGCCTTTCTCTTTCATAAGGGGTAACCCATGCTTAGCATTCCGTGTGAGCTTGACGTAAGCATGGTGCTTCGTGGCCTATCCAGCATCCAGCAAATTTAACCAATCATACTAATTGAGAATGTTGTTTTAATACCTTTATATATGCGTGGTTGTGTTTGTGTTTGTACATGTCTATATATATATATATATATACACACACGAAATGTATATATATAAAATTAGTCTGTTAAACTGGATGTATTTTTTGTTATTTAAAATGAAGTTTGCCCTACCTTTGTCATTTTTTTTTTTTATTCCTCTACCACAGGATAGCTACAGCTCTCAGGGTATTTCTCAGCCCCCAACCCCAGGCAACCTGCCAGTCCCTTCCCCAATGTCCCCCAGCTCTGCTAGCATCTCCTCCTTTCATGGAGATGAGAGCGATAGCATTAGCAGCCCAGGCTGGCCAAAGACTCCATCAAGCCCTGTAAGTGGCTCTGGTTGTTTGTCTCTTTTGGTTTTTGGGGGTTTTTGGATAATTAATTATACTTTAATGCTTGCTTATTGATTTATTTTATAAGAAATTTTTCTTCATTATTGATCCATGAAAAGGTTTTCTTCACAAGTAATTGCTCTAGTAACAAAGCAAGTAGTGTTTGCATGCATGTAGCAGTGGGTTCTGGTAATGGCAGCCATTCTGTACTAACAGAGCCTCCGCACAAAGATGGCGGCTACTGCTGTCCATATTCCTCACATGGGAACCAGGCTGGGCCGGCCGTGGACCACACAGGTCTGGCCCCAGATTGAAGCTTGTCATGGGCTGCTCCATCTAAAACATCTTATTCAGAATGCCTGCCCGAAATGAATGAGTAAATATTACAATCTGGATGTGGTTTAGCATAACATCAGCCCTGCTTGGGGTTCAAGCTGAATATCTAAAATTAATGAAAAGGTTACCAAAACGCCTCTACATGTGAATTTTAGTACTGTTTGCCTAAAATGGAATTAGTCAAGACAGAAAAATGGAGTTCCGCACAAGAGTGCTGGTGATCTTGAAAAGAGTGTTGGTTTTCATGTGATATGTAGTTAATAACAGCCATGGTAATATTCTTACTAAAGAATTTTTCTGGCCTTAATGTTCTCTGACTATGGAATTGGGCCTCTATTTTTCTTCTAGAAAATAATCTGCTCTATAAAATGAAAGTGTAATGTACTATAGTAACCTTTATTTTATATTCATATAGGGAATTAAAAGATCTTAGGGGAAAAAAAAACTTTACATGCAATTAGTTGCCAAGAAGGCTTAATTAACACACTAATTTCTGTAAGCCAATGTGTGCAAGAGCACAGATCAGGAAATGGTGTTGGAGGGAGGAAGAGCCTGGCTGTGTGCGATCTGGCAATCTAGTCACAACCAGCAAGGAGGCTGCTGCTAATTATCCATTCACCGGTTAGACAGATAGAGCCTGGCGGGTTGAAGTCTTACTCTTTGTAGTAAATGTTGGTGACGTTCACATGAAGCTCTGGTATAACCAGCATTTTCCTTTCAGAGAAAGGAAGGGTGCTCTGTGCTCCCCCCCTTCCCTGGGGATATGTTCGGGTTTGGTAATACCCAGATGGGCGGGGAAAGCGTGCCGCCCTCCTGGGGCAGCTTAGTGCTGTTTGCGTTGAGTCTCAGAAGGCAGCCAACATGTGTGGATTTTTTTCCCCCATAATTTGCCCTAAGTTTGTTGTTATTGTTGCTGTTTCTTTAAAACAAGAAAAGGCACTTTGAATCAGTAATGGTATTAAATGAACAAGTAGAATTCAAATGATTTTCCAAAAACATACCTATGTTGACTCAGAGGGAGAATTTCAGAGGTTTTTAAAACTTCAGAAAATAAGAATACATCTTTAAAACGTAAGATAATAAGAATTTATTAAAAATCAATGTTACTAGTAAGCCTTGGCATATATCTAAGTGCTTGCCTTGCTGGCCCTGGAATAAAAAAAAAAAGGACTGAGGTAGATACTGAATTGGAATTTGCTCTTTCCATCCAGCAAGTCCTGTAGGAAACATTTATCAAAATGCTTCTCTGTAGCCAGACCCTCAAGGCTCATACCATCAGAGACTGAGACCTAGTCAGGTCAGAAAAATCCACAAGCCTATCTTCCGTTAACTACAAAAAAGCCAGGATAAAGATGTGGCTCAAGTGATCAAACACTAGTCAAGAGCAAGCATGAGCCTCAGTATTAGCAAAAAAAATATAATAATAATAAATAGAAATGCTAGTTTGCATGGTCTGCTATATGCTGTAAATACCATTGTTCAAAGCTGAGGTTAGCTTAGATTATATTGTAAGGCTTTATCTCAAAAAAAAGAAAATATTACTTAAATATAAAAGTAAAACAAACAGGTAGCCCCATTTTTTTGATAATACTTTAATTACTTTTTTCTTTTTCTTCTTTTTTCAAAGTATTTCCAGCTAGGCATTGGTGGCTCATGCCTACAATCCTAGCTACTCAGGAAGCTGAGATCTGAGGATCACAGTTCCAACCTCCAACCCAGGCAGGAAAATCTATCTGACTCTTACCTCCAAAAAAGTATTCAGAAAAAGCTGGAAGTGATGCTGTGGCTCAAGTGGTAGAACACTAGCCTTCAGCAAAACTAAGCTCAAGGGCAGCACCCAGGTCCTGAGTTCAAACCCCAGTATCAGTTTCGTTTTTGTTTTTAAGTATCTCCATATCCATTATATCTTCTTATACCAGAAATTGTCTTATGTTTAAGAATTTACCAGCAAACTTCTGGGACAAGGGAAGCGGTGCTCCCTATGGAAGGCTTCTGTGGGCTCCGCTGACTACTGAAAACATAGCTCCTTGCTTTTGAAAGGTGTGGCAGTTGAGGAAGGAGCAGAGGAGAGTTTGGTGACAGACTTAATGTCAGATCACCGCAAATGTGCTGCTCAGGAACACTGAGCCCCTTTCTGAGATGCCACTTGACTGCGCTTGAAATCACCCTGAATACTGTTTGTCTGAAAGCCTGCCGCACAGCAGGCCTGAAACGGGCCACACAATCGTTAAAGCTGCTGTCGCTCTGACAGTATGTGACGGACCCACGTTATTTTGTCACAAAACGTTCTAAAATTAAATAAATAAATAAACATTTGTCCACACAGAGCAAATACGTCTTCCTCAACATATGGTAAAGACTGCTGAAATACAAACCTGCTGGAAGACTGGAGAAGAATGCACTGGCGGGCTTACTTAAAGTGCATGCAAGGAACACACGGGTGGCGCCTGAGCTCGCCTTGCTGTAGCTTCTCAGCAGCCCTGCCTCCCAACAGTGTCAGCGTGTAGCATTTACAACACAGAGCAATGCCATGTGAGCTCGTGGTTCTGTAACGACACACGCACTTTAGCAAGGAAAAGGAGGAAGTGTACTTCTGTGACACCACCCTGGAAATATGTAATTCGTTAGTGTCACCCAGCTACTACCCTCTGGTTCTTAAGAATGATATGAGACTTCATAAAATCATGCCTTCTGGGATTCAACGTTTATATCAAAGTTTAAAATAGCTTTTGTTTATTTTGGCTTGTTTTTTTAATGTTTAAAAGTAGTTTGGGTCCTTTTATTTAAAGTTAAAGTAAATTTTTAATTAAGAAAAATGTATAGTTTGTGCCTGAACTAGTAGCCTTCATTCCTAATTGTTGTGTGATAGCAGTAGTTTTGATCTCTTCCTTCCTTGTATTCGGAGGCTCATTACTTTTTTCTCGCCTTCTTCCCTTTCCCTTGGCCGCCCCACCCCTGCCCTTTGCCACATACTTACCTCTTCTGGCACTAGAAGTCTAGCTCATCCACCACCACTGGGGAGAAGATCACCAAGGTGTATGAGCTGGGGAACGAGCCAGAGAGGAAGCTATGGGTCGACCGATACTTGACTTTCATGGAAGAAAGGGGCTCCCCGGTCTCGAGTCTGCCCGCAGTGGGCAAGAAGCCCCTGGACCTGTTCCGACTCTACGTCTGCGTCAAAGAGATTGGAGGTTTGGCACAGGTGAGCGTGAGCAAGTGAGGAGGCGTGCCAGACAGGCCTTGCCAGTCGTGCACAAATGAGGACTAAGCCTGTGGGAAAGTCACCTTCTAGGGGTCCCCTCCTGTCATTCCCCTCCCACCCCCACCCCCAGTTGCTGGGCTTTAGCTTCTCATCTATAGGACCAGGTGTCGGCAGGATCAGGTTGTACCTGCACGCAGGGCAGCTCAACACACTGGCGTCTCAGGGCCAAGCAGAGCTACTTAATTCTGAAGCAGCCCTCGGGCCTGCTATTGGCAGCCTGTATTAAGTGCCAAAGAGGCATCTCCCTGAGAGCTCTACGGCCTGGAAAAGTTCTAATCCAGAAATGCATACATATACTCTCATTAACCCTTCCCATGCTGCTCAGCACCGCAGGCTCAGAAGGCACAGCTTCTTTCATAGCCTGTTCCCAAGTGGGAATGTAAAGGTTGGAGTAATACCCCCTTCAGGACCCCTCCCCCCTCCCCTGTCTCTCCTCGCCTGCTCTTTAATTTAAAAAAAAAAAAAGTTTCAGAAATACCCCCCAAGTGATGGTCCTGGGATCTGAATCCCTCTCCCCCTGACCTCTCCTCGGTGTGTGTGTGGGGGGGGGGGGGGGGGGTCAGGAAGTCCTGCACCACGCACAGCACGCTGGGCCCTAGGTGCTGAGCCGGTGGCACAGTGATGGCATCCTTCCAGGCTGTTAAGTGGGGGTCAGGGACAGCTGGTGAAGGGGCCTCGCTGCCTTGGCACCAGCTGCCATGAAAGAATAACGTTTACCCTTGTCACAAGAAGCCGCTGGAGAGAGGGCGATGCAGGACAGGGCCGGCACCGGCCGCCCGGGGCTGGCGGCTCACAGAGGGCAACTTCGTTTCATACCATGGCTGCAGTACTTAAGCTGCAGGTTTGCTTTTGGCGCCCTTTGGTCTTAATTATAGGTTCAAGGGACCGAGCAGGAATGTCCATTCAGTGCTCAGGGCCTTGGCAGTGCCTGTGTGAGGCACTGGGCAGTGCATCCTGCAGAAGACCCCAGCGAGAGCAAGCCAGCGCGCACGTAGCAATCAGCAGGCTCCTTAATGGTTTTATAACTGTAACTGCTGTCTGTGCGCTACTGAGTGGGAGTAATGAGCACTAGTTAAAAGAGATGAATAAAAAAAAAAAAAGTAAACTAAGACATTAAGTACTTTTGGGGGGTCTCCTCGCCTTAAACAAGCCACCTTGCTACAAATCAATGATCCTGCCACTTTTTTGCTAGGTTAATAAAAACAAGAAGTGGCGTGAGCTGGCAACCAACCTAAACGTTGGCACATCAAGCAGCGCAGCCAGCTCCCTGAAGAAGCAGTATATCCAGTACCTGTTTGCCTTTGAGTGTAAGATCGAAAGAGGGGAGGAGCCCCCGCCAGAAGTCTTCAGCACCGGAGACTCCAAGAAGCAGCCCAAGCTCCAGCCGCCATCTCCTGGTAAGTAGCAGTGCTACAGCCCGGCCTGGAAGCCAAGGCAGCTGTGCGGGAAGGACGGGAAGGAAGAAGAGGAAGAACTGGAATCTTGGGAGAGGGAGCAGCCATTGCTTCTCCACTGGCAGGGTTTTAGAAAAGGAAGAAAAATAAAGATGTTGCTGTTTGTGGTAGGCAACTTCAAAAGACATCGTTCTTCGCCTCTATTTAGTCAAAACAGACTTAGGAAATCTGAGCTACATCTGTTAATTCCTTCCTTCTTCCTTTCTTTTATTTTCTGCCAGCATAGGATTTTGAACTCAGGGCCTTGTTCTTGCTTTGTTGGCACTCTACCACTCAAACCGTGCCTATAACCAGCATTTTTGCTCTTTTGCAAGTGAAGTCTCATGGACTTTTCTTCCCTAAGCTGACTTTGTACTGTGATCCTCCAAGTCTCACCTTCCAGAGTAGGTAGGATTACAGGCATGTGACACTAGTGCTCAGCTCTCTTTGTTCCTTTCTTATTTAAAAATACTGTCTAGCCAGGTACCTGTGATCCTAGCTACTCAGGAGGCTGAAGCCAGCTAAAGCCAGTCCATGAGACTCTTATCTCTTATTAACAGTTAAAAAGCCAGAAGTGAAGCTGTGGATCAAGTTATAGACCATCTGTCTTGAGGGAGAAAAAAAAAAAAAGCTAAAGTAAATCACCCAGGCCCTGAGTTCAAGCCCCAGTACTAGCACAGGAAAAAAAAAAAGGCCAGGAACAGTGGCTCATGCCTGTAATCCTAGCTACTCAGGAGGCTGAGATCTGAGGATCACAGTTCAGAGCCAGCCTGGGCAAGAAAGTTCACAAGATTCTTATCTCCAATGAACCACCTGAAAATCGGAAGTGGCATTGTGGCTCAAGTGGTAGAGCACTCACCTTGAGCTGAAGAATTGAGAGACAGTGCTCAGGCCCAGTTCAAGCCCCATGACTGACCAAAAAAATCTGTCTAGCTCTGTACAAAGTCAGTAATCATATGAACCTGTTTCAGTGCTACTAGACAGTGCCCTCCTCAGACACAACAACTGGCTTGTCCAGCTCTTCTTCTGGTGAAATATGTACTTGACCATAGTCAAATTTGGACTTAATTTCTGGCCCTTTTCCCAGAAAGTTTTCATCTTGAGAGAATCCCACTATCTGTCATAAAGATTTGTTTCTGAAGGCGGGTGGGCCAGGGGCTGTGGTAGAGGCCAGAAGTGAGAACTAGGGGCACCAGAGTGCACACATGCACACACACACACACACACACACAGAGGCCAGATGCGTGATGCCACACCACCCCTGCCCTCCGCCTGCTTTTGGACACCTGCTGCTCCCTGTGGCTCTCATATTGGCCTTTGTTCTCCTCTAAGTGTTTTTTACATTTAAATTTTCCAAATTCGAGTCTGATGAATGAAGTGTCTGGGGTGGGGAGAAGCAGGTGTTCCGGTCCTGGAGGTGACCTCGCTCAGCTCAGCCTCACATTCTGTCTCAGGCGTGGCGGTGGTGGTCTGCGGAGCTGCACTGAGCCCGGGCACCTTCAGTCCTTGGTCATGCTGGTTGTATCACGTGACCTATGCCTAGCCTAGCTGACGGTCGTTTCCCAAGTGCATGTGGCAGGCTTACCATTTTGCCTTCACACCAGCTCTGGACAGTGACTCACTCTGTGAAGGCGGCTGGGATGTAAGTGCCCGGCCCACTGGGCAGCAGGGCAGCAGCAGGTCTGGATGGGGCATTGGGTTACGGGTAGCTCACCAAACCCACCAGAGCTCAGCCTGATGGGATGGAAAGGCCTTAGTAATGGGTCAGACATCGATACCTAGAAGCCAGAGCAGGAATCCATTTCCTGTGCCTACCAAGTGGATGGAAAGTACTGCTGTCGAAGGTGGGTGGACAGTCAAGGACTCTCCCGCAAATACTTTTAGGCCCATAGTACACTTAGAGTGACTATCCCTAGATTTACATCTGTGGTTTTCAAATACAGGAAAAACCTTCTCCATCTGCATCTTGAAAGATCCCAAGGCTTTGCTGTTCAAGTGCACCTGAAAACTGGGAAATCTAATTTTAAAAATCACACACTATTACATTCAGTTCCCTGAATCAAAGAAGCTGCCTGTGAACAGCTCTGAAACTCTTTTTCCAAAATAAAAGCCCAGTGGGGTACAGGCACCAAAGTGGTGCTATCTGTGGAGATCTAAAGGTGTGTTTTATTTGCTAGTAAGAACTTGTGTCCATGCATGGTTTGCACTTGTGTGTGGAGAATAGCTCTCCCAGCACGCCCCAGGCTCAGTCCATGAAGCCCCGTGGAGACACACAGCCTCCAGAAGTGAAAGCCTGTTCTCCTAACAGCCCGTGCCACCGCCCCCTTTTGCAGAGGGCTGCATTGGTGGATGCCTTATCATCTTAACTGCACGAACGAGGTTAGGTTGCACACGTACATGGTCCACACGGAGCCACGGTTGTTCAGTGACAAGGGACGTAGTGAAAGCAAAGCTTGCTGGTTGGCTGTGAAATTGGTGCCCAAACCAAAGCTGCCCTGCAGAATGCTTGGGCCCCACGGGGAGGGGGTGGGAGTAACGAGCAGCAATGTCATGATGTCCACACCTGACCTGTCCCCAGCGTGCATACATCACTTGGCCTCTCTGTTTCTAGGACCATTACTAAGGAAAGTGTCTCTGAAACATTTTTATTGTCAAAGAAGGAAAACAAAATCATTTCCCTTTATTTATCCTATATCAAGATCCTATTTACTACCTAATATTTTTAACTGATTTTCAGGGGAAAAGTGTGTGTGTGTGTGTGTGTGTGTGTGTGTGTGTGTCCTTTGAAGTCATTTTTCTCCCCAGATCATAATTATAGTATATTTCTTATCAGTACATCAGGCAAAGTAAACTAAAAGATTCCTAAGAAATGGTAGGCACCTGTGGTTCAAGTCTGACACCTGAGGACCACAGCCCAAAGCCAGCCTAGACAGGAAAGTCCATGAGACACTTACCTCTAATTAACCAGCAAAACAGAAGTGGAGCTGTGTCTCAAGTGGTAGAGTGCTAGCCTTGCTTGAAAAAAACATCCAGGCCCTGATTTGTGGCACAAAAAGAAAAATAGAAAAGAAGAACATTCTAGATCCTGAACCAACTGAAATCTCAGTTCCCTTGCCATTGCAAGTCATGGGTCCTGCGTCCTGTTTTGATTGGATGTGACCTGCAGATCTCAGCAGCAGTGTGGACTGGCTGCAGAAAGCCTGGCCCCTTGGATGGTTGGAGCTGAGATACAGGAGCCCACTGGGCAGGACCTCAGGACGTGGCCCCTGTCTTGAGGGCACCCATGGAATCTCCTGCCCCTTGACCTAAAGAAGTTAGTAGAGTCAACAGCCTCAGGAGCAGCCAAACCAACTGCCCCTGCCCCTGAGCTGGGATGGCGGGGAGGGCTGGGAAGCTGCACATTGGGTTAGTAGGTCTGTAACCAAAGACCCATCCATCTTTGCTGGCTGGTGGCTGACTGGATTTCTATTATTAGCCGGCAGGTGATGGATCCAACTAGGGAATCCCCAGCGGAAGATAAATGAGAAAGGGGCTTGGGTGTAAACAAAGGCGCCCTCTGGTTGACCTCAGTCCCAGACCTGGGACACATCAGCTGTTCTCTGCCCTGCTCCCCACACCCCCACCAGAACTGGGGCACCAGGTTCACGCTGTGTAAATTATCTTCCCAGCCAGGAGTCTGGCTGTTCTGTCTGAAGTGTGTGAATGTACTTAACCTTCAGTGACCTTCCCATTGTTTACTTTAGAGTATACATTTGTAGCTTCTGGCGAAAGGTAGGGATGAGCTAGAGGGCTGCCAGCCGCCTCTATTAATGGAGTTACAAGAGATTGCATGCATTTTTTTTTTTAATCCTGAAAGGAAAGGAAAAACATGGGCAAAGGAGAAGAATTTTTCCTTTTTTATTAACTGTAAAAGTGAATACTTTGTAAATGAAGGGTCATTCAGAAATCCCAGCCTCCTGCGCGGCGGCCCAGGCTGGGGGTGCAGGGTGAACCGCCATTTCTCCTCAGCACGGGGGCGGCCGTGACTGGCGGGCCATCCTTTGATACTTGTACAAGGCTCCCTTATTCTTTTATTACTGCCTGCCTTTTTAGGATACTTGTCCAGGATTTTACGTAGCTGGTAAGCAGGCGTTGATTTGCTCTCTTCTAACATACCCGCACTGATAGATGGTTTTCCTGCGTGTTAGAGCACGCACAGCCGCCGCATGTACCCCACACAAGCACAGCCTGCAGTCGGAAGCCAGGCCGGCAGCCTCAGTGCCTGAAATGGCTGTTGGGCTGAGGCTCCGAGTAGAGCTGATGCATTCACTTCCTGATCTGACTCCTCTCCAGTGCAAATAACAAATTTGATTGCGTAGCTCAAGAAAAGTTGAGTCCATGAAAGACAGAACATAGACCTCCACGTGTTTTAAGGGTTGGATTAGCATACGGCTCATTATTAATTTGTATTGGATTTTCAACTTAAACACTTCTTACTGCCTAAGACCCAGAACTAAGTTTTCTGAATGTTTTCTAGGGAAGCCCAGCTGTATCAAATGGACCAAATTTCCATGCTATTTTTCCTGTTACATTTAAAGTATCCCTAGGATAGATAACACTGAAATAAACCTTTTTCTGCCTAAAGCCTTCTTTTCATTAGATTATTTTCTTGGGACAAATACCTTAGCAAGCAATTAGCAGTCAAAGGTTAATAAATTTTATGGCTCACAAATGAAGTAGGTCTCCAAATGATTAATTCAGAGAACTTAGTACTGAGAACTGAGAATATGGCTCCGGAAGGGCACTTACCTGACATGTGTAAGGCCACAGTTCCATCCCTGCATACGTGTGCACACGCACACATCACACATCATACACCACACACATTCTTGCTAATTGTTACTATAAACAATGTGAAAGAAACTAACTTTACCCCTTATTGTCAGCAGTGGATGCTATTAGTATTTCTAATAGATGGTGTCTTGCTTTAAATTCTTACCTGTGTAGCTGTGACGTATGCTAACGTCCCGTTGCTTCTCCTTGCTACCTGACAGCTAACTCCGGATCCCTGCAAGGCCCCCAGACCCCCCAGTCAACCGGCAGCAACTCGATGGCGGAGGTTCCAGGTGACCTGAAGCCGCCCACCCCAGCCTCCACCCCTCACGGACAGATGACCCCCATGCCGGGAGGAAGGTATGTTCCCAGGACTTGGAGCCATTTGCAACCACTCTATTTTACCTCTGGAGTTTTCTGAAGCGGGCTTAATAGGAAGAAAAAATGAACTAAGTCTTAAAATCACTTCTAGATGTACTCGTGTAGTTTGCTTTGGGCTGTTTTGCATGGACAGATCTCAGGATTGGCTTATTTTTCAGTGCGTTGTTTGTTTGGTGGTCACCGGCCATACCACTAAACTTTTATTTTTTCTTCTTTCCAGAAGCAGTACAATCAGTGTGCACGACCCATTCTCAGACATGAGTGATACGTCGTTCCCCAAGCGGAACTCCATGACCCCCAACACCCCGTACCAGCAAGGCATGAGCATGCCAGACATGATGGGAAGGATGCCCTATGAACCCAACAAGGACCCCTTTGGTGGAATGAGAAAAGGTATGTGCAGATGGGCACTGCCCATGCTCCAGCGAGGCCCACAGCCCGGTCGCCTGGTCGTTCAGAACAACTCCCAGGGCCTACTACCTTGTAGTACCTAGCCTCCTGCCCCACGAAACTGGTGGCCTGGGAAAAAGTAATTGTGATAAATGAAGTATTCGTGCTAAATACTTCCTGCATCTAGAAATGGGGAAAATAGCAGGACAAAAAATAAGCCACAACTGTTTTATTGAAGATCACGGTCAGTGGAATAAAGCGAACAAAAAGGACAAGATGCAAATAGCATGATGCCGGCTGGGGGCAGTGGAAGGAGAAGGCTACTGAGCTCAGATGGTCTAGGTAGAAGGCAAGGAGATGCAGGATGAGGTTGAACAGGTGAGAGGGGAGGGGAGGGGTGGGAGGAAAGGAGAGGGGGGCACTAGAGAAGGGAGCTAGGCTTGTTGGAGGCAGCAGATGCCCAGACACAACCAGTGTGGGCACCCCAGCCAAAGGCATCAGTTTTCTGTGCAGCAGATTGACATGTTTGGGTTTTTCTGTTGAAAGATAGTTAAGGAAGTAGTAACACTTGATTTTTTTGCAAAAATAGACAGCGTGATAAGCAACCATCTATGGGGCAGGTATTGAACAAAGTGAGAGAGAGGAAGGACAGCTTGGATCGGAGAGACCGCACCGCTGCTGCCTGCTCTGGGCGTGCTGATGGGTGAACACGGGGCTCAGAGCCACGCATGTGCGTGGGAAGGCGGGATGGCTGCATAGCGCGGGCCAGCTGGGAAAGGAGCAGAGTAGGGAAGGAAGGCTGGGGTCGCTCTGGGTATTGGAGGAGGTGAACAGCGGACTGCATGTCTGGAGCTGGGCAGAGATCAGAATTAGGGGAGACTTCGTCTGCAGCTGTGACTTGGGGGAGGAAGTCGGGGGTGGAGGGGGCATTGTCTTTGCACACTAGGAATCCCAAAGTGGATTCCTCCTTTCCCAGGTGAGCCCCAAGGTTGATCCTCCTTGAGAGTGTGCTCATCAGCCCCAACTAGAAACCTGACAGTTTGGGTCGGGTATTCTTTTGCAGTTGTGTCCTATGTAATTGAGGCATCATGCGAAATCGTGAATATGACTGGGGGTTTTTTGTTTTGGTTTTTTTTGGTCAGTCGTGGGGCTTGAACTCTGGGCCTGGGCGCTGTCCCTCAGCTCTTCAGCTCAAGGCTAGCACTCTCCCACTTGAGCCACAGCACCACTTCCGGTTTTCTGGTGGTTTATTGGAGATAAGAGTCTCACGGACTTTCCTGCCCAGGCTGGCTTTGAACCGCGATCCTCAGATCTCATCCTCCTAAGTAGCTAGGATTACAGGCATGAGCCACCAGCGCCCAGCTGTTTTGGGGGGGTTTCTTGCCAGTGCTGGGGCTTGCACTCAGGGCCCGGGCGCTGTCCCGGAGCTGCTTTTGCTCCAGGCTGTCAAGGGTTTCCCAGCTTCTTTCCTAGTCACATGCTGCCAAGCACGCCATGAAACCTGTGAGCTCAGCCAAAAGCTCCATGGCTGTTTCATGTAGCTGTTTTTCCCAGTGGTTCACAGTGCTCAATAGTTCATTCTGTGAGAGCTTTTGGTGTCTGTATTCTGTTTCCAAACTCAAAATAAGACAGTCACGTGGAAAAGTAATTACAGCGGACCTTCGTAGTCCAGGGTCCCGGTCCCAGGGTCCAAGATGGCGCTGCCCATTGAGGAAGCATGCTGACTGCTGGCCACGCCACGCGCCCGCCCTCCACTGGCTCCCCACAAATCTGGAAATTTCACCATCACCTCATTAAGCACATTCACTTTTGCTTCGGTGGGGGGGGGAGTGGGGAGCAGATGTTCACAGATGAAGGGCAGACAGCCACGCCACAGGGCTCAGTGACTTGCAGCACATACGTGGGGATGTGAAATGTTTATCTTTGAAATTTATTTCATTGTTTTTACGTATTTTACCAAACTAATAAATTCATGAATGATAGGGGCTTCATGCGGTAGCTGCCGCACATACTTGGAAGGTGGACTTAAAACCATGGTAGTCATGCCAGTATCCCCCTATGTGAGACGCCTGGAGTTTCTTCACACTTAGAATTCCGCTTGCTACAAAAACGTGTTCGGAGGCTGGAGAAGTTACTGTGGGATTGTTACTAGCCAGCCACAGGGCGCGTCCTCATCCACCCTGTGCGTCGCGACTGGCACCCATACCGCGTCTCGGCTCCCCGGCTACCTCGCGACACCGGCGCAGTCTGTGCCAGATTAAAACAGATAAACAGCAAGTCCCCGGGAAACGTTTTCTCACAGCCCTAACGCCATTCTAAATAAAGTCTTCCGGCCTTCAGTCTGCCCTATCCTGCCAGTGACCTGGGCAGTGCTCTGGTTAGAGCAGCGTCAGTGCCGCGTGGTTGCCACTGCCGTGCCGCATTGCCAAGCAGTGAGTCAGAGCCGCAGTGCGCAGTCCAGCCTGCGGAGCTAGCTCCGCCTGCCCGCCTGCCCGCCTGTCCGCCTGCCTGCCTGCCTGCCTGCCTGCCTCCCTGCCTCCCTGCCTCCCTGCCTCCCTGCCCGCCTGCCTGCCTGCCTCCCTGCCCCGGTCTCGTGGAGGAAGGATTTGGATACCCAGTTGTCCTCTGACTATATTCTGAGCATCCCATCTGCACACAGAGCTGTACTCACTCTTGTAATTAAATAAATAACAGTGCTCTAGTCTTGGATAGATTGTTTTCCTCATAGCTTGTTGGTAGAAATAGTGATGCTGTTCTTTTACACTTAGGGCATTATTAAATAGTCAGATTTTTGTCAAATAATAGAACCCTCTTTTCCTTCAAGTATCTCGGTCATTTTTTTAACGAATCATCTCAGAACTTTGTGTGTCCGTGACTGCGTGACGGACAGGGCCGGGTAGGTCTCCACTCTAGAAATCGTCTGCTGGATGCAGAGCGGCGGCCAGGCCGACAGCCAGACTGGCAGTGTGCAGTAGATGGGGCGCCTCTGGGGTGGTTCTCAGAGTCTCTGCCAGCACCTCCTCCAGACTTTGCTGCGTAGCTTCTGGTGGGAGGAGGCCCAGGACATAACAAATGGGGCCAGAGAAGAAGAAAGAATAATAGGGGGAGAATTTGGTCAAAGTATTTATGCACGTATGGCAATACATTGAAAACATCTTTGTTCAGTTGACATACCCTAATAAAAGCAAAAAAGGAAGCTTCTAAGATGACAAGCCCTAGTGGCAAGCTTGTCCGGGCATACACCTGCACTCATTTGCCATTGGTCACATGACCCAGGCCAGAGTCATTGTGGGAGGGCGCTTCACAGGCTGTGAATGTCTGCAGGTGTGCTGCTTCTATTGCCAAAGCAGCCGCGCAGAGCAAGTACTGGCAAAGGCTGCGTGAGTTTAACACTGCGTAAGAATGTGGAAGGGCGAATGGGCTCTCACCGCCGAGTCAGAACGATTACTATCAGCCGTTTTAATCAGATTGGCCCAAAAGTTAAAAAGGTGTCACGTAATTGTTTTAACTCCGATTTCTTTCATTATTAGTGAGCTCACGTGTTTTGGGTTTTTTTCTCATACAATGATTGCCCATTTGTTTTTCTTTTCTGGGAATGGGCTTGCCCATTTTTAGTTTTTTCTTTTTTTCTCTCTTTTTTTTTTTCCTATTGCTTTTTCAGAACTCTTATATGTCTGGGAGTTAAGCTACCTAACTAATTATGCCTCTTGATTTCTGCCTATCTTTGCTTTCACATCTGTAAAATGGAAAGTAGTTTCAAAACTGGGTCTGCCGTAGCTCTGACATGAGATCAGACGGGCGGAGGCCGAGGTTCCGGGGCAGGGCACAAGGTGCCCTGTTCAGTGCCAGGCTCTGCTCCCAGCTGACAGAACTCACCAGTCCCTAAATTCCAGTCTGTTTTTGCCATGATAGCGCAACATTGCCATAGATGGATTAAAGTTCAAATTGAATTACTGCGGTCTAATTTCTGTCCTCAGTGCAGACTCCTTCTGAGCGCATGCAGAGGTGCACGTGCAGCCTTGCGCAGGCTGGCACTCAGTCAGCCATGGGCCTTCTCCCATCATGAGCTGTTCTCCTATCAGTTTCTTCTTCCTGGTTCTGGACTATGTCTAAGCAGGAGTGTTAATGTTGTGGTTTCGGGGCTTCCTAGAAGGGAAGGGCACTCTGGTGTACAAGTGTCAGGTCTCCACCGCTTCATCACTGACCTTGTCTAGATGAGGACTCACGTGCAAGTTAGTAACTTACCGAGGTGGAGGTGGGCCCGTGTGACCCGACTTAGCAGCTGGTGATGGGGAGAGGCGGCCCTCGTGCCTTCTGCCGGGCGTGGGGCGTAGTGTGGCTGCGGCTTCTGCTCACAAGGCTAACCCCAGGGTGTCAGCCAGAACAGAGCCCTCCGCGGAGTCCTGCAGTTAGACGCCCTGCAGTTAGGACAGAATGCCATTCCCGCTCGCTTCCTGTGGTGGTAGGGCAAAGACGATGGGTTTCTCTCGGCCATCCTCTGTCAGCTCTTGGGACAGGGTTCTCTGCCCGGCATGGCTCCATCTTTTTTCCTGTGTACCCAGATTTGAAGCCTGGTGGGCTCCTTTGGGCTGCTGAGTAGCATAGTTCCGCTGTGAAATCCCTGTTGCAGTGTCATACGCCATCATCATGGCCTCAGCCCTGCGCTCCTCGGCTCTGGGCTCCCTCAGGCGAGGCCTTACACACAGCACACACCAACACAGGCGTGTCTTTGGGGCTTCTCCCCCAGAGCCTGTCAGACTCCGATGCCACATTCTATCATTCGGATTGAGATCCGCTAGATAATGTCGGGGGAAAGGAATGGCTGGGAGGGTTTTGCAGCTGCTTACTTCTGTACTTTTTTGAAATACTGCAGTGCCTGGAAGTAGCGAGCCCTTCATGACGCAAGGACAGATGGCCAACAGCAGCGTGCAGGACATGTACAACCAAGGTCCCTCTGGAGCCATGTCTAACCTGGGCATGGGGCAGCGGCAGCAGTTCCCCTACGGAGCCGGGTACGACCGAAGGTGAGCGCTCCCAGGGGAAGACGAGATGGTTCACAGCACCGTGGGCTTCGCCCTCATGAGGGACTCTCCCTGCCAGAGCTGACGCCAATCGCCGAGTGGCATCAGGTGGCTGCCGTCAGTGGACAGCAGCTGCAGGATCAAGCACTGGTTCCAAGCAGCCAGGTGGCTCTGTGTGATTGCTCACAAACGCTCAGACAGAGAAATTAACTCTCAGGGCGGGTCTAGTTGTGATCTCTGTCTCCTTAGAAGCCGGAACCCTGGCAGCTCACTGCACTGGTCCCCTAACTCCTGTTCCCTGCTGGGGTGGCCCCGCTGCAGCCCAGGTGAGGCTCCTGTAGGAGCTCCCGGGCTCCTGGGCCTTCCGCACTGGCGCCCTCCTCGCGTCCCTCAGAACAGCCGGGTGGTGCCGCGCCGGCCCTTCAGGCTCTCAGCACAAGGTCTTCCAGACATTGCATTGTCAGGTGGCCGTCCTCCTTCCACGAATGTCTAACAGAGCATAGTTTGCTCTTCACACGCGTCTGTGAGGAAGCCCTGCACTCCTGCTCAGCACGCCTCTCCAAGGAGCCGCCTCCCAGACTGCTGCTCACTGAAGAGGTGGAGAGGCTTCGTGAGCTGTCAGAAGCCCGCCTTGTGCCGACACTCTCCCTCCCTACCTCCCCCCTCCCCTCCCTCCCTCCTTCCCTCCCTCTCTCTCTCTGTCTCTCTCTGTCTCTCTGTCTCTCTCTCTCTCTCCCTCGCAGGATTTATTTTAGTATGATAGAATAAAGTTGGGAGAAACAGAAAAAAAGAAACGGTTCTTATTCTCCATGAAGGAAGTGGAAGTTAAAAACTCCTAGGAAGGGAAATTCCTGAAGCCAGGCTTTATCTGACACTTGTGACTCAGGGCCTCACACTCTTGCTTGGATTTTGTACTCACAGCTAGCACTCTACCATTTGAGTCAAGTCTCCAGCCCAGCTTTTTCCTGTAACTGGAGATGGAGTCTCTTGAGACTTTCCTCCCCAGGCTGAGCTTCAAACTTCAATCTTGTGGTTCTCGGCCTCCTGAGTAGCCAAAATTACTGGCACAAGCTCCTGATTCCTGGGTAATACCAGTGATTTTTTAAAAGCAGAACAGGACACACAGGGAGAAAATGCCTGTCTGCACCAGGGCCATCCCCTCTCTCCTACCCTTTCCCCCTCCCATTCACACACACACCACACGCACAGCACAGCAGGATGGGGCTGGCCTCTAGACCTTCCCCCAGGAACTGAGGGCAGCCTGGCCCGAGTGAGCCCCTCCCACCAGCGCATCTCGGGGCTGAGGGAAGGGTTGGCAGTGGAAAGTAGCCCGTGGTTTAAGGCAGCCAGGGAACATTTGAAAACTCACTCTTTTACAGATAAGGTTGTTTTCTTGAACTCAGAGCTCCACCTTGCTAGGCAGGCAGTGGGCCACATGAGCCACGAAAGCCCACGCCCTTTGTGCCTGGTTATTTTGGATAAGATCTCACACTTTTTGCAGAAGCTTCCTATCTGTGCATCCCTCATAGCCGGGATTCTAGGCATGGTGTGCCTAGCTTGTTGTTGAGATTGGGATCTCAGTAACTGTTTGCTTGAGCTGGACTTGAACCATGATCCTCCCAATCTCCATCTTCCAAGTAGATGAAATTACAGCCATGTACCACATTTCCCCTGAACTCTATCTCTTGAAAACACAGACCCCATACTGTGCTCATAGTGTCAGAGTACATTCTCCTAGTGGATTAGGATTTTATTCCAATTCCTACCCTGGTCAGTATCCACTTAAAATAACTGCCCTCATCAGGTAGCTATTACCCCGAAATTAATGCATCAGATCGGGATTTTAATCTGGTTTGCTTTGGTTTGAAGGATCTAATAAAGGCAACTGATTTTTTAGGCATCTATTCCATACAGTTCTTCTCTTAAACAATTGTATGTCTCAGAATCCCAGATCTGTTGCAGTAAATATGCTGTGTAGATGGCATTTATAATTTCTCAGTATGATAGCAGTTGGTATTCTTCATTTCCATGTCAAGATTTACTAGGAATACATTGCCTTTCAGGTCATAGAACTTTGAAACTTAGAGTGTTTGTGTCTGTACAATTATTAGCTAATTCAGCATGGTTGGAATTGATTTGAAATATGCCTTTAAAACTTGTATTTATGATAAGAGTATGTAAATAGAACTATTTTCCAGGTAAGTTCTAGAACTTAAACTCTTAAGTGTTAGATTCTTCTTGCTTCTTGCTTCGCTAGCTCCTCCCCTTGCCGCGTTGCAGGGCTGGCTCTGAGGGAAACTTCAGTGGGTGGGCGGGGCGTGGGGCTTCACCTCAAAGGCACAGGCTAGAAGCCTGGACAAGTGCTTACATGGCACCTGCCTGTTCAACCGGTATTCTGACACCCATTCACAGCAGCCAGAGCCGGGAGAAGGGCGTTCCCACCCCTCCTGTGAAAGCCCGTGAAGCTGCCTGGGGAGAGGATGTGGGGAAGACAAAGCTTTGGGGAAGGTTCCCCGGAATGGATCGTCCGGGGTCTGTGCTCTTCCAATGACCTTTGTAAATTAAGTTTTCTCTGAATGCCTTGTTGTAGGCATGAGCCTTACGGGCAGCAGTACCCAGGCCAGGGCCCTCCAGCCGGACAGCCGCCTTATGGAGGACACCAGCCTGGCCTGTATCCTCAGCAGCCGGTGAGTTGGTAGGTGGGCGTGGGTCTCCGCGTCGCTTCTGAACGTATGGAAGCGTAACAGAAGCCATCAGCCGTACTGAACTTGCAGGATCTGTTGGGCTAGAAAGGACTCGTGGGATTTTGAAGTCAGCAAATTAAAAGCCGCTCCTGCTCCATAGCATTCTATGTGTGTGTGTCATAGCTGTATGTGTGTGTCTGTGAGCCCAAGGTGGGGGGGGGAATCTATTGTATTCGTGTGTCTGTTACGTTTACACACCTGCCAGACATATAAAATGTACGTGATTTTCCTCATCATGATTCCCCAGTTCTACAGGTAGAGCAGTTTGTACAGGACTCAGTGACATCACTTAAGACAGTCTGCCGCACAGTAGGATTAAGCCATATGTGTGGGTGTGCAGAGGTTTAGTGCAAAGACTGAGCCATTTTATCTGATTCTGGTATTGTTCAATTTGGGTATCCGGGGGGTCTGGAGTCCGTCCCCATGTGCACTGAGACACAAATGTGCATACCAAAATTCTTAGCAGAACAAAAATTTGTTCATATTTTAAAGAATACATGGAAAAAGCAACTCAAGCCAGGCGCCAGTGGCTCACGTCTGTAATCCTAGCTACTTGGGAGGCTGAGATCTGAGGATTGTGGTTCAAAGCCAGCCTGGGCAGGAAAAGGCTGTGAGACTCCTATCTCCAATAAACCACTAGAAAGCCGGAAGTGGCACTGTGGCTCAAGCGGTGGAGTGCTCGCCTTGAGCTGAAGAGCTGAGGGACAGCGCCTAGGCCCAGAGTTCAGGCCCCACGACCACCACCCCCCACCCAAAAAAAAAATGTTCCATGATAAGAGTGAAAGGTAGCCGGGTTTTGAAGAAGAGCAGCTAAGGCCATGCATTTGAGTGACTGGAGTGGATCCCAGCCTGCGGCCTCCGACCAAAACCGGGGTGGAGGCCCAGGCAATGCCTTTCAGACATAGGTGCGGGGCTTGGCTATTTCGAATCAGCCTCTCAGGTCTGAAAGCTCTGCACGATAGAGGCATTTCTTTCAGGACTTTTTAATCACAAAGTTGTCTTTAGCTATTCCTTTTTCTGGAGCAACTATGTCCAGTGAATTTTATTACCAGAACCATGGACTTTAACAGTTTTCAAGCAGAGTGAAAGAATGCTTGTTGAAAACCTCAGCCTGCCGATGCCTCCCATCAGATGCACGTCCACCTGGGTGGCACTAGTCCCCAAAGAGCCACCGGGGAGAGCGTAGCGACTGGCGCCGTGCTCAATTCCCGCAGGGCTTTCCCTGGGGTCTGGCTTGGAACAGGTAGACAGTAGGTGGGGGCTGTAGGATGCGCAGCAAATGATAGCAGGGCGCTACAGCCATGTCTGTGGTTTGTCTATGAAAAATAAAAAGGTGGCTCACACCTATAATCCTAGCTACTGCTGCTCAGAAAGCTGAGATCTGAGGATGGTGGTTTGAAGCCAGCCTAGGCATAAAAGTCTGTGAGATTCCTACCTCACAATTAACTAGCAAGGTGCAGAGTATGGTAGAACACCAGCCTTGTGTGGAAAAACCAAGTGAGTACCATTACCCAAAAAACCCACGCAACCCTTTCATATTAAAAATAATAAAATGAAGATAACAAAGGTTTTCCTGGGGTTCTTTGGCTCACAGACCGCTCCAAAGACCCTGGAGCCCTGAGGTGATGCCCCTGACTCCTGGGGTCACTTTGGTGTTCCCCATCAGGGCCACCGCTGTGCAGCGGCCATCAGTGTTGCACTGCTGGGACAAAGTCAAAGTCCCCGGGACTTGAACTTGCGCAGCCCTTGGCAGAGTGTGAAGCACGGAACTGTGTGACCCTGAAATGCAGTCCCGAGCGTGCAGTGCGCAGCGACATTTCCCAGGCTCATTTTAAGTGACCCCTCTACTAGGGAACAACAGTGTTGCGTAACTTGGGCTTGTGCACGCATACACGTGTACGAGCCCGTCAGTATGGTCTGTCTTTATGTGAGTTTCAGAATTACAAACGCCACATGGATGGCATGTACGGGCCTCCAGCCAAGCGTCACGAGGGAGACATGTACAACATGCAGTACGGCGGCCAGCAGCAGGAGATGTACAACCAGTATGGGAGCTCCTACTCTGGCCCAGACCGGAGGCCCCTGCAGGGCCAGTACCCGTACCCGTACAACAGAGAGCGGGTGCAGGGCCCGGGCCAGATGCAGCCACACGGAATCCCGCCTCCGATGATGGGCGGCCCCATGCAGTCGTCCTCCGGCGAAGGGCCGCAGCAAAATATGTGGGCTGCACGCAACGACATGCCTTACCCCTACCAGAACAGGCAAGGCCCAGGCGGTCCTGCGCAGGCCCCCCCTTACCCGGGCATGAACCGCACCGATGAGATGATGGTCCCCGACCAGAGGATCAACCACGAGAGCCAGTGGCCTTCTCACGTCAGCCAGCGCCAGCCTTACATGTCACCTTCAGCCTCCGTGCAGCCCATCACCCGCCCACCCCAGTCATCCTACCCAACGCCACCGTCACTGCCAAACCACATCTCCAGGGCGCCCAGCCCTGCCTCCTTCCAGCGCTCCCTGGAGAGCCGCATGTCCCCAAGCAAGTCTCCCTTTCTACCCACCGTGAAGATGCAGAAGGTCATGCCCGCCGTCCCCACACCCCAGGTCGCCGGGCCTCCAGCCCAGCCGCCCCCCAGCCGCAGGGAGATCACCTTTCCTCCCGGCTCTGTGGAGGCCTCACAGCCAGTCCTGAAGCAGAGGCGAAAGATCACCTCCAAAGATATCGGTAAGCACCGCACGAGTTTGTTCCAGAAACTAGGAGAAGTTTAACTTGAGTTTTCTTTAGAGGTAATTTCTGTTCAGCTCAGTGCAATGAGGTTCTTTGGACTGCAAACTATCAGTATGTTTTTGTGGAACTGGAAGCCACTAATCTGAATTCAAAGGAACGGTACCAGAGAAGAGTTTGAATTAAAGTGATCGTTTTAGGTACAAACATTGTTTATGTGAGAGGTTTGGAAGTCCTCTGTGACTGTGTGCTGTGTGTTAGAGTTTACCTTAACTGCTGCAGTATGTGCTTAATGAACACCGTCAGTGCTCTTACTACTCAGATCTGGCAACAGCATGCAGACAACTTCTATGGGTGCAGTAAGAAACCTGGCTGAGATAGGGACATAGGTAGAGCGGGCGCACTAGCGTGTCAGAGTCCATCTGCATGCACGGGTGGACTGTGTGAGGAGTGGAGCTCCTGGGCCCCACACACCACTGGCCGATGGGGGCTCCCAGCTCTCCTGCACCCGAATGCTGCCATCGCTTGTCTGCTCACAGCGCAAATGTCTGAGCATGCACACAGCTCTTCTGCATTTATTCTGTAACTGTTTCAACACAGCAAGGAAATGATCTTTTTTTATTTTTCAAAACAACTCTCAAGCATTTGAAATCATTTGTCGTGATTGGTAAATTAAAGGTATGAATGGATATTAGAGATGCTTTTATTCGTTGGGCATCCCCATACATACAGAGCGCAAGACAGTAAAGTGTCTTTTACCTGTGGAGGACTAGAGAGAGAGCCAGGTTCAGATACGAAATACCATCCTATACATAGAAATACATAACTGCAACATGAACTTGTACATTTCCATGCTCAAATACACCCGCTGGAATTGTATCAAAAAATGTAGTGTATACACTAAGGTAGTGTTACCTTCCACAAGGGTAAACGTGTACCCCTTTTCAAATCCTTGACCTTGTCTTTAACCTTAATAGGCACCTGAGAATGTTTGGGAAATAGAATCAAAAGGACGGCAGATTACTGCAGGAGCCGGAGCACCCTGCCCGCGGGTGGGTAGTCGCTAGCTCACGTGGCAGTGTCCTTGGCGGGCACCTGGCAGGCCTGCTGTGACTCCTCCCTGCGACACCAGCTCCCCACCATCCATACAAATCTCAACTTTCTATCCAATCCTTGTGTTCTCTTCAGTAACAGAAATAGGGAACCCGAGAAGGTTTCCCACTCATTGGGAAGTGCCAGTGTCTATCCATGAGGCATTCTGAGGGCAGGGCACAGAAACAGGAGAAAACAGCACAGGACCACCAAGACTTTCTCTGGGAGGGTGTGCTGGTTTGGGATTTAACCGTGCTTTTTACAGTCTGCATACTTGGCCAGGCTTCTGAAAATACCGCATTGAGACTTCTGAGTAGAGGAGGCAGAGTACAGAGGCTACTTTGGGGTTGGCTTATTGAACACTGACCATTTGGTGGTTAAAGAAATCTTTACCACATGCATCCATGTCTAGAAATACCTTTGGCTCAAGATGAACTAGCAAAGCAAAAAGACCAAAAACAGCACGTTTTCTAGCACCTCCACTGAAAATCAGGTTGCCATGTTTGACTCTAGGGTCATTTGTATTTCACACCCTACTCTTCTGCTACTTTCTGTTCTTCCACAGATAGAGTGAATATTAATGATACCTGTTCGTATTTCTAGTTACTCCTGAGGCGTGGCGTGTAATGATGTCCCTTAAATCGGGTCTCTTGGCTGAGAGCACGTGGGCTTTGGACACCATCAACATTCTTCTGTACGATGACAGCACCGTGGCTACTTTCAATCTCTCCCAGGTGAGCCGGCACCAGCCTAGCTGTGACTGCCCAACACTGTGAGGGAACTGAGTAGTGCAGAGTACCTGAGCTCATGCTTAAGTTAATTGACAGTAGCTAGCTAACCTTTGTAATCATTGTAATTATCATAAGCCAACGTGAATCAATATGTAGATATCTGAGAGTTTAGTCTGGGATATTTGTTTTAGTCTTTCGTATGTGTATACCTACACATACCTACATTTCTCCTAGGAAAACTGTGTGTGTGTGTGTGTGTGTGTGTGTGTGTGTGTGTGTGTGTGTGTGTGTATGTTTCTTAGTTCGAAGTTAAATTTTTAAAGCTTTAGAATTTTATTTTAGAGTAAATACTAGCAGGCCCATGGAAATTATTCAAAATACGATTAGAACTGCAGTCGGTGTAAAATGCAGCTGGCTTCAGTGGGGCAGCCCCTGCTTTCCACAAGGACCGGGCAGAAGAAGCGAGGAGTTCCCAGAGCCGCAGCCCCACCCTCCCGCTAACCGGGCTCCTGGCCACGCCTGCTTCCCAGCCTGTCCTCTCTGCTTCCATCCGGGTCGTTTTGAAGCTTCTGTTAGTAATGAACTTGAAGCCTCCTGCGGGTAATTTCCAACCAATGGCTTCATGAGAAATGTATCCAAAAGTCTTCCAGGCTGTGGAGCAGAGGGAGTGTCCAGTCGTGGTGTAATAACAGCTCTACCTTATGTGACAAAAGCCAGCATGTCCAGTTCCTTCTACTGAAGACAGACCAGAATCTTCTGTCTTGTTTTTTGTCTCTCACTTACGTTTTCAGGGCCGCCTAGAGTTCTAATTTAATTTTCAATTGATAGAAATTGCATGAGGCTCATTTTAATTTTTAAGAGTGAGTATTTTAAAAAATTAAAATATTGTGCCTTTTCTTGAGTAACTTCTGTCCTTATAGCAGGTAGAACCTACATTTTCCTACCCAGAATTGCTTTCTTAACTTTCCTACGACCCCAGGGGAAAATACATTTAATGGGTGAAGAAAAATCATCCAGACTTCCACTTGGAAAATTGTTCTTTTGGTAACTTAAAAGCAAGTACTTCGTGCACTTTGGTATTTGTGTACCTTTCTGTCTACGTTATTGTGCCAAACCCCCTTTTGAGAAACCTGTGGTAAATAGAAAAGTCTGGTTGGTGCTCCCATTGCATCTGGATGGAAAAGACCTTCTTGTTACTCACTGGCTGCCTGAGGCCCCTAAGGGTGACAGGCCGGGTGCGGGCGGGGGGGGGGGGGGGGGGGAGGAAATGCAGTTGTGAGTGTACGCATTTCCTCCAGACCCAGACAGGGGGTTGCTAGCACAGGCAGTGTCTCGCCTACTGGCTTTTTTTCTTTCAGCTGGAGCTGTGGATAACTGAAATGCAGAACTGTAGCCTGTGAAACATTCTAATTCATTTATCAGGGACTCCCTTGATTTGTTTCTAATTTTCAGTATTCTAGGAGCTACTGCCTTGCTGAAATTATCTTCTCCAAAATACATAGGTAACATAAATGAAGGTAACGTAGGGCAGCTGCGGCAAGAATGATAGTCATAAAACCCCCAGCAGGCAAGTCTCCGACAAATAGAACCGTCCCTTTGGGTCAGAGAGTTTGTAAACCCATGTTCCTCCTCCAGTACTACTTTCTTGTCAGAACATCTAACAAGTGAAAGGACAGTGGAGCACTGCCCAGTCATGCCATGCAGAAGTCAGTGTTCCGGTTGGGGTGTGAGCGGCTCGGCCGCAGGCAGGGAGCGTGTTGCAGTTGAGTGGATCATGTGAGACTCGGCAAGGTTGTTCTCACAGGGGCATAGTATCCTGCCGCGGCCAGCCCGAGAGCAGGCAAGCATGGTGGGAGCTGCTGCACCAGGTGTGATGGTACAGTTATAATCCCAGCTCCTTGGAAAGAGAGGTCAGGAGGATTTAGGGTTCAAGGCCAGCTCAGGCAAAAAGTTAATGAGCCCCGTCTCAACCAGCCATCCAGGTGTGTTGGTTCTTCCCTATCATCCCAGCTTGGTGGAGGAAGTGGGTGCTGAGGACCGTAGTGAGGGCTGAGGCGTGTGCCTCAGCTTACAGCTCCTGCCTGAGTTCATTCAAACTGCAGGGTGCCAAACGAATCGCGTGCCATAGCACCCAGGGTTTTTACCCCTCCCAGTGAGAGCTGAGGTCATGACATTGTGCCTGTTCTTTCTTGTTCTCTTCCTCTTCCTCTCCAGTTGTCTGGATTTCTTGAACTTTTAGTAGAGTACTTTCGAAAATGCCTGATTGACATTTTTGGGATCCTTATGGAGTACGAAGTGGGCGACCCCAGCCAGAAAGCACTTGATCACAATTCAGGGGAGAGAGGTGGCTCCGTGGCCGACGATTCTGGAAAAGAGGAAGAAGACTCCGAGTGTCTAGAGGAGGAGGAGGACGACGACGATGAGGAGGACGAGGAGGAGGAGGAGGAGGAGGAGGGTGAGAAGACGGAATCGGAGGCAAAGAGCAGCGCTGCCCTGGGCACCCTGGATGCCGGCGCCGACCCCAAGGAGAGGCCCAAGCAGGCCAGTAAGTTCGACAAGCTGCCAATAAAGATTGTCAGGAAGAGCAAGCTGTTCGTGCTGGACCGCTCGGACAGGCTGGGCCGCGCGCAGGAGTTCAGCAGCGGGCTCCTGCACTGGCAGCTCGGGGGCGGAGACACCACGGAGCACATCCAGACTCACTTCGAGAGCAAGATGGAGATCCCGCCCCGCAGGCGCCCCCCGCCCCCTGCCAGCTCCACGGGTAGAAAGAAAGAGCCAGAAGGCCAAGGCGACCCTGAGGAGCAGCCAGAGAAGAGCATCCTGGCCACCATCGACGACGTCCTGTGCGCTCGGCCAGGGGCTCTGCCCGAAGACTCAAACCCAGGGCCCCAGGCAGAAAGCGGCAAGTTCCCCTTTGGCATCCAGCAAGCCAGAAGTCACCGGAACATCAAGCTGCTGGAGGATGAGCCCCGGAGCCGAGACGAGACGCCGCTGTGCACCACCGCGCACTGGCAGGACTCACTGGCACGGCGCTGCATCTGCGTCTCCAACATCGTGCGGAGCCTGTCCTTCGTGCCGGGCAACGACGCGGAGATGTCCAAACATCCGGGCTTGGTGCTGATTCTGGGAAAGCTGATTCTGCTTCACCACGAGCATCCGGAGAGGAAGCGAGCCCCGCAGACCTACGAGAAGGAGGAGGACGAGGACAAAGGGGTGGCCTGCAGCAAAGACGAGTGGTGGTGGGACTGCCTGGAGGTCCTGCGAGACAACACGCTGGTCACGCTGGCCAACATCTCCGGGCAGCTGGACTTGTCTGCATACACAGAGAGCATCTGCCTGCCCGTCCTGGATGGCTTGCTGCACTGGATGGTCTGCCCGTCCGCAGAGGCGCAAGACCCCTTTCCCACGGTGGGGCCCAACTCGGTCCTGTCACCCCAGAGACTCGTGCTGGAGACCCTGTGCAAGCTCAGTATCCAGGACAACAACGTGGACCTGATCTTGGCCACGCCTCCATTTAGTCGTCAGGAGAAATTCTATGCTACGTTAGTTAGGTACGTTGGGGATCGAAAAAACCCAGTCTGTCGAGAAATGTCCATGGCGCTCTTATCGAACCTTGCCCAGGGGGACGCGCTGGCAGCGAGGGCGATCGCTGTGCAGAAGGGAAGCATCGGAAACTTGATAAGCTTCCTAGAGGACGGGGTCACCATGGCGCAGTACCAGCAAAGCCAGCACAACCTCATGCACATGCAGCCCCCGCCTCTGGAACCGCCGAGCGTAGACATGATGTGCAGGGCGGCCAAGGCTTTGCTGGCCATGGCCAGGGTGGACGAGAACCGCTCAGAATTCCTCTTGCATGAGGGCCGGTTGCTGGATATCTCGATATCAGCTGTCCTGAACTCTCTGGTGGCGTCGGTCATCTGTGATGTACTATTTCAGATTGGGCAGTTATGACATACGTGAGAAGCAAGCATGTATGAGTGAAGATTAGCGGTCACGTGTCACTGGCTGTTTTCTGTTCTTGTTTATCCAGCGTAGGAAGAAGGAAAAGAGAATCTTTGCTCCTCTGCCCCATTCACTATTTTACCAATTGGGAATTAAAGAAATAATTAATTTGAACAGTTATCCAATGAATATTTGCTGTCTGTGTGTATAAGTACATCCTCCTGGGTTGTTATTTTTATTTTTTTTTAACCAAAGTTACTGTCTAGTGCATTCAAAGGTCACCTTTTCTTTTTCACAGATATTTCTTTTTAACGTCCTTTTCCATGTTGTATTGCATTTTGGGGGGGAAGCAAATTGACTTTAAAAAGAAACGTTTTGGCAAAAGATGCTGAGATGGGAAAATTTCACCACACTGATGCAAACAGGTGGAAAATGGTCAATTTCTTATGTGCTTTATTCTTCAGAGAATGGAAAAAAAAAACTGTATCCCATCACCCAAAGCTCTGTGCAATAGAAACTTCTAGAGAGATAATAGGTATAGGGGCTCAAGAGGTATGTCAGTCAGTACTCAGAACTGAGTGGTTCCACTAGACTAGAAGCAAACCCGCCCCTGGCCTCGCGTGCCAGGACCCCACCCCCACGCTGGCCTCACGTGACAGTTCTTCACAATTCCTTTCAGCATTTTTTTAAATATTTTTTTTTTACTGCCTATGGGCTGTGATGTATATAGAAGTTGTACATTAAACATACCCTCATTTTTTTTCTTTCTTTCTTTTTTTTTTTTTTAGTACAAAGGTTTTAGTTTCTTTTTCATGATGTGGTAACTACAAAGTGATGGTAGACTTAAATAATTTTTTTATTTTTATTTTATATATTTTTTCATTAGGGCCATATCTCAAAAAAAAAAGAAACAAAAAATACAAAAAACACAAACAAAAAAAAAACACAAAAAGAGGGTAATGTACAAGTTTCTGTATGTATAAAGTCATGCTCCGTTTCGGGAGAGTAGCTGATCACAATTTGCTTCATGAATCACGGTGTGGAAATGGTTGCATATGGATTGATTTAGAAAATGGTTACCAGTACAGAAAAAAAAAAAAAAAGAAAGAAAAAAACTTCAACTAAAAGGAAGAAACACAACTTCAAAGATTTTTCAGTGACAAAAATCCACATTTGTATTTCAAGATAATGTAGTTTAAAAAAAAAGAAAAAGAAAAAGAAAAAAACTTGATGTAAATCCCTCCTTTCCCTCTGGCTTAATGAATATCATTTATTCAGTATAAAATCTTTATATGTTCCACATGTTAAGAATAAATGTACATTAAATCTTGTTAAGCACTGTGATGGGTGTTTTTGAATACTGTTGTAGTTTCCTCGAAGTGGTTTCCTAGTAATGGAGTTATTGACAGGAAATAGGGGACATGTGGCCGTGTGTCCCCCTCATTGCACATCCCCGCAGTCAGAAGGGGCCTTTCGGGGTTACCTTCAAGTCTGATTTTCTCAAATTCTTTAGCTAATTAGTCTTCCTTTGAAGCAGTTCACTCGAACGACACTGAGGTGTAGCAATGTCACACTGAGGTGCAGCAATGTCCGGTGGACGGGAGGCCGCTGCCACCCCCGCCAATGGGAGGCCTCCTCGCGCACTGGCCCGAAGATGCCACGGTCTGCCTTTCACTAACTCCATCAACGTTAATCACCACTCAGTCCTTCCCATGGTTCTTCTGTGTGCCTCAAAGTTACTCTGGATTTAGTTTATTTCAGCGTGTATAATATTTATATTGTGCAATGTTACAAAATGACTATGTTGTATTGTATGCGGTGTACATAGTGAAAAGTGATTATTTCTATTTCAGGGCATATGATTATTCTCATATTTCTTCCTACCTGGTGCGCAGCAGCTTTTTATATTTGTCACTTCTGAGGTAAACTCAACTCTTTCTGGGTCATTGACTGTTATTGTGTAACAATCGATTGCTTCGAGCCTTCTGCCTAGCGATGCTGTTCTGGACCCCTTCTTACGCGGCTCTACCTCTCCCTGCTCCTCCCACCAGTGCAGGCCCCGACTGCAGACCCGTGCCACCCGCTGCCGTAGTTCACCCTTGTCACACTGCAACCCGGGAGAGTTAGCCAGCAGCACACAGCTCTCATCCACCATAGACCATTCTTTCTGGAGTCAGCAGGGAAAAAAAAATCATTTTTTTCTGCAAACATTCTGATCTGTCAACTTCTGCATCCCCTAGTCTTACGTAACAATGCAGCCAAATATATGTGGAATTAAACACACATTTACAGTTTAAATACATCTGCTTGCTAAGAACAGATTTTAATTTTCCAAGCTTAAAAATAGAGGTTTGTAAGAGGGAATTCAATATTATTCTAATTTCTCTCTTACAGAATATGAATAAAAGGTGTATGCAAACTCAAGTTATCTAATATCCCAATTCTTTTTGTCAATTGCAAGGGTAAAGTCACTCTGAAACCCCGTGGTTGGCGCTTTGAGCTGTGGCAGGAGCGCTGGGCAGCGTGTGGCATGCGCAGTGCCGCGCAGCCCCAGCTCCCCTGGAAGGCAGCGACCTTTCCCCACTCAGCCCGCAGCCGAGATGCAGCGGAGCCCACGAAGCACGGGCGGCTGCTCCACACATCTTGCCTATAAACTGAGTTATTGCTTTGTCCTAAAAATATTAGTGGGTTTTTCCCCCATGAGGCTTTTCAGAAATTTACAGGATGCCCATATTTTAAAATGTGTACCAAAAAAAAAAAAAGATAAAAATAAAGGTGCAAAGAAAGTTTAGTATTTTGGAATGGTGCTGTAAAGTTGAATCTGTTGGTATTTGAGTGCATTTTTTTGAATGTCACATAGGAGATATATTATTGGTTAGCATCTGCTCAAAAAGCAGTGTTTTGATTAAGTTGGTCACATTCTAGAGTGACTTCAGAAATGACAGGGGACGTCTTACCCCAGTGCAAGCACTTCCCTTTGCTCTGAAATCCATCCAGCTGTGTACTGTTGGGGGATTTACCTCCTGCCAGACCACATGTACTGCCCCTCTGTGCTCACTCAACAGCACCCATGTGCCCGTGTCCCGGCTGTGAGTGCCCCCTGTGTGGAAAGCCCAACCTGGAGTCTGGTTCCAGCCCCCAGGTTCCCAGCAAGGGATGGGGCCGTACGCGCTGCTCATTTTATACAGCTTCAGATATCCAAATGGCCCTTGGCAGACAAAGTTTCTTCGCCCCTTCCTGTCCAGCAAGCTTTTTAAAACTCGCATAAACACTTCCGGGAACTCTGTCATACGTGATTTTTTCCGTTAGCAGGGTAGGAGCTGGCAGGGCATTGTCAGCTCGGCGTGTACACATTGGAAACACCCAGTGCCCTTCAATGCTGGCTTTTGTTAAGTAAGAAGTGATATGGAGGCTCTGGCTGTTTGGCCCGCAACCTGGCCTGAGACTCACCCTAAGACAGCTGTGAGATGCGCTGAGATGCTCCTTGGAGCCCCATCCTGTATGTTTCTCAGACCACGTGACCAGCCCTGACACTGTAGGACCAGTTGAAGCTGCCTGAAGCCGGTTCCTGGCCCGTATGCTGGAGGCTGCCAGGTATTCCCTGCCACCTTCCCTGCTTCCTGCCGCCGCCCGTCAGGCATCACCCGCCCAGTCCCATGGCATCATGCCAAGCCGTGCAGTCCTCCGGAGCCCAGAGTTCCGGATGAACTCCTCGTGGTACTTAAAATGTGGAAGCTGAGGCGAAGTTGGGGTGGGCAGGATGAAGTGTCAAAAGTCTCAGGCGTCTGTCTCCCCATATCTGACTGACACGACTCAAGGCTTCGCCCCAACTTTTCACAAATGCGTTCTAAAAAACCACCCCATAAAAAATCCTTACACTCAAAAGCCTGAAGTGTCCTGGTGTCTGCCCTTCATCCACCCACTCCCTGAGGATTCTTCTTTTTCTTATCCTATAAACAGGCTGTGTAGTTTGAGAAGTTCAGCTAGATGAAGATCACGCATGATGTCTCAATGTCCTTGTTTCTTGCTTTCTCCCCCCGCCCCCACTTTAAAGATAGGTTCTTGCCATGTAAGTCCAGGCTGGCCTCAAACTCGGGATTCTCCTGCCTCAGCCTCCCGAGTGTTGGAACTATTTGTACCCCATTGTGCCCAGCTTGCATTTATCCCTTCAGTTGAAAGTGCGATGACATTGAGAAGAGATGGCTTGGGATCTCCTCTGTGTGTAAGCTTGAACAAGGTACTTAAACTCTCTTGCCCGTTTCCTCGCTGGAATACAATTCATACCACCCTCCTGAAAGATACCTAAAGCAAAATAGGGTTGGGGCATGGCTCGAGTGGTAGAGCGCTGTCTAGAAAGCACAGAGCCCTGAGTGCAAACCCCCTGTACTGCCAAAGTAAAGCACGGCCTCAGAGCAGCTAGCAGTTTTCACCACCTGTCACAGGTGGCTTGTTCCTGGTTTTCTGTAGAAGCCTCTCACCTGCTGTGTTTAGAGCCGAGGACATTCCCCACCATGTCTTGGATCAGGGACAGTGTCGGTGTCAGGCGTCCAGGGATGAGAGTCAAGCCCACCGTCATGTGCAGGTAGACAGATCTCTACATCAGTTATGCCGCATGTTGGTCCCCTTCCCCTCCCCACCCCTGCCCTGAAAACAGCGCCTTTAGCGCCTTTCACAATAGGACAGCGTCCCCAGAGACAAGGGTGACTCCCGCGCCGCGCGGGGCTGACTGGCTCTAGCTCTGGCCCTGGCCCTGGCTCTGGCTCTGAAGGCGGGGCTGACCCTGGCTCTAGCTCTGGCCCTGGCCCTGGCTCTGAAGGAGGCGCCTAACTTCCGTGCCAGGGGAAGGTCAAGTGAATGAATGAAGCTTGAACGTTGCCCTTCTCCCTAAGTGGGGCCCAAAGCTGTGTAGTGTCCCAACGAGGTTTTCCTGAAGAATGGAGAAGCCAGAACCTGCCTGGATGCTGCTCCTGGGACAGGCCCTTTGTTCGACGACAGATCCCGCTGGGCAGGCAGCATGGCGCCGCTGGCATTGCTCACGGTAAGTGCTGATGACTTGGAATTCAGTAGCATGCTGCACTTGAAGGGACGGATTTCATAGCTCTTGGTCCTCCGCAGAAGTCCTGGCATGGAGCCTGAACCTCTGCACCACAAGCCAGGACCCCAGGGAGCCTGCGAGCTAGACGTGAAGCCAAAGCCAAGAAAGATTTCCCGCATTACCAAAACTCCATCCAGAAGCCATGGTGTACGGCGACCACAGGTTGGAGGGGTGGGCTTGTTCAGAGAGACAAAGGTCTTTTCGGTACTTAGGTTAGAACCCAGGGCCTCGAGCATGCCAGGAATGAGCTACACCACCGTCCCAGGGGTTCCCTTTCTATCTGTGCTTCCATGAAATGGCATTTAAATTAAAGATCAGGAAGTAAACAATGTCCACCTGCCCAGGGTCTCTGTTGCTGCCTTTTCATAATTCACAAGGGCCTCATCTGTGAGTTTCCTGTTAAGAAAGACATGATCATCCCTTCCCCAGGGTGAGCAGTTGTGGCCAGGCCTCAGCCGGCCGCCAGGCCTCCGCCCAACACCATGATCCCGGGCCTGTGAGACCTGTGAGCTCACCAGGGCTTGCATAGGCACAGAGTCTTCATTAGAATTTAAATTTCTTGTCAGGCTCCTGTGGCTCACGCCTGTAAGCCCAGCTACTCAAAAGACTAAGATCTGAAGATCACAGTTTAAAAGCAAACAAACAAGCAAAAAGCCTGATGTAGAGATGTGGCTCAAGTAGTAGAGTGCCAGCCTTGAAAAGCCAAGCAAGACTGAGTTCAAGCCCCAGTGTGTGTGCTCACATGCACACACACACACACACGGCATTTAAATTTCTTCAAGAAGTACTTTCGGCCACACTCTGATAAATTAGAATTTAGCATGAAGCAACCGCCACTGCCTTTTAATGCTGAAATCCACGGGGGTCCAGGGAGCGGCCCTTGCGGGGAAAACGCCAGCCCTTCGGCGCCGTGTGCGTTAGGGTCAGGATCCTCCGCTGATGAGACTGCTGATGCGTCTGCCTAGTAAGTGACCCCTGCTCCCTGTGCACAGCCCTGAGGACTCATTCAAGGAACTTTTCTTTCCTATCTAGCTTTTCATTCAAGCCCATTGGGCCTTGCGGCATCGGGGCGGCGCGTTGCCTGGTGGGCCTTTGTTGCTTAGTTGGGCTCTTGGCTTCACCCATGCTGCTTCCACGTGGAGAGGTGGTTGGTGCGCGTGGCAGGGGAGCGGCATGGTGTATCTTGCGCTCTGAAGATGAATACCCTTAGCATGGTGAAATAATAAACATTGCCTGTGTTGTTGGCTCC